TTTTTTATTTTTATTGATATTTAATATATCACTCAATTTGTTTAGAATTGATGACTTTATAATAATGGGTTTTTCATCTAGGATTAAGGTATATTACTCACCACTAAGGACTACTTTATTGTCCTTTGAAATGTGGCAATAAAATTCACCATTTCAGTATTTTTTATTGTAAAATGTACATAACATCATAGCAGCTATTTTAGGTACACAGTTTGGTGGCTTTTAGTTCATTCATCAAGTCAATACAGCCACTACCAATATCAGACTTTAGAGCATTTCCATTACACCCCTGAAAACAACCTGTATCTTTTGAGTAGTCACTTCCCCAGTCACTAGCACCCTCTGCTTGCTTTATTTTTTTTTTTTGTAAAGATTTATTTATTTACTTGAAAGAGTTATACAGAGAGAGAGAGAAGGAGAGGCAGAGAGAGAAGGGAGGCAGGGGGTGGGGTGGGGGGAGAGGTCTTCCATCCACTGGTTCACTCCCCAACCAGCCGTAACGGGCAGAGCTGCACCGATCTGAAGCCAGGAGCCAGGAGCTTCCTCCGGGTCCTCAACGTGGGTGCAGGGGCCCAAGGATTTGGGCCATCTTCCACTGCTTTCCCAGGCCAGAGCAGAGAGCTGGGTCAGAAGTGGAGCGGCTGGGACATGAACCAGTGCCCACATGGGATGCCGGCACTGCAGGCAGTGCCTTTACCCGCTATGCCACAGCACTGGCCTCACCCTCTGCTTTCTATTTCAGAGATTTTACCCAGGGTACTTCAAAAAGTCTGCAGAAAATGGAATTAAAGGATAACTTATTATGGTGAAAAATATTTTAAAATTCATGCATATGTGGGACTTTTAAAAGTTCATGAAAAATACATATTATGAAAAAATATTCATGGATTTCAAAATTGTTTTGCACCAAAATAAACTTCTTTTTTGCTTTTGAAAAACTTTTAAAGTTTTTTTTAAAAACATAACTGTTTTTTAATTTGAAAGGCAAAGATAGAGACCGAGGATTCCCCCTGATGGTTCACTCCCCAGATGCCTGCAAAAGCTAGGGCTAGGCCAGGCCAAAACTGTGAGCCTGGAACGCAAACCAGGTCTCCCATAAGGGGTAGCAGATATCCAGCTGCTTAACCCATTACCTACTGCCTCCCAGGGTATACATTAGCAGGAAGCTGGAATGGGAGCAGAACTAGAATTTGAACACAGGTACTCTGATATGGGGTGCAAGCCTCTTCAGTGACATTATAACTAGTAGACCAAATGTCTACCCCTAAACTTAGTCTTTTAGTTCTGTTTCTAACAAACTTTTTGAAGTACACTCATATAAATGGAATCACACCACATAATAGCCTTTACATGGCCTGAAGTGTCTGTTTTTTTAACCTAGCATCATGTTTTTAAGGTTCATCTATGTGTATCGGAACATCATTCTTTTTTATAAATTCTCTGGATTTATCACGTTTTGATTATTTGTAGGTATACCACATCTTAATTATTTGGACACATATCACATTATAAATTAATCAATTGAAGTATATTTGTCAATACTATTCTATAATTTTTATATAGAACTCTCCTTTTATTTGATTTATTCCAACACAAATATTTTTGAATTCTTACGCATTTTTATAAAATGTCATTTTATTTACTGCTGATATTAGGCATATGTGTCATTGGTTTTCTTACTTTTTTTTTTTTTTTTTTTTTTTTTTTTTTTTTTTTGACAGGCAGAGTGGACAGTGAGAGAGAGAGACAGAGAGAGAAAGGTCTTCCTTTTTTGCCGTTGGTTCACCCTCCAATGGCCGCCGCTGCAGCCGGCGCACCGCGCTGATCCTGGCAGGAGCCAGGAGCCAGGTGCTTTTCCTGGTCTCCCATGGGGTGCAGGGCCCAAGCACCTGGGCCATCCTCCACTGCACTCCCTGGCCATAGCAGAGAGCTGGCCTGGAAGAGAGGCAACCGGGACAGAATCCGGCGCCCCAACCGGGACTCGAACCCGGTGTGCCGGCGCCGCAAGGTGGAGGATTAGCCTATTGAGCCACGGCGCCGGCTGGTTTTCTTACATTCTGTGAGTCTGAAGCTTGATAAACTGTCTTGGTAATTTCAAAAATTTATATTCTTTTGGATTTTATATGTGAAAATCATATCATGGTAATAAATGAGTTTTATTTCTTTGCATTTCTTCTGGCCTTTTCTGCTGCTTCTTGTCTGACCCTGCTGACTAGACTCTGTAGTACAATGTTGAACAGTGTAGCCCGCCCCCTGGCAAAGTTTTTTTTTTTTTTTTTTTTAAGATTTATTTAATTATTTGAAGTCAGAGACAGAGAGAAAGAGTCAGAGGGAGAGAGGCCTTCTATCTGCTGGTTCACTTCCCAATTGGCCGTAATGGCTGGAGCTGTGCTGATCCGAAGCCAGGAGCCAGGAGCTTCTTCCAGGTCTTCCATGTGGGTGCAGGGGCCCAAGGACATGGGCCATCTTCTACTGCTTTTCCAGACCATAGCAGAGAGCTGTATCAGAAATGGAGCAGCTGGCCAGCACTGCGATTCAATAGGCTAATCCTCCGCCTTGCGGCGCCGGCACACCGGGTTCTAGTCCCAGTTGGGGCGCCGGATTCTGTCCCAGTTGCCCCTCTTCCAGGCCAGCTCTCTGCTGTGGCCAGGGAGTGCAGTAGAGGATGGCCCAAGTGCTTGGGCCCTGCACCCCATGGGAGACCAGGAGAAGCACCTGGCTCCTGCCATCGGATCAGCACAGTGCGCCGGCCGCGGCGGCCATTGGAGGGTGAACCAACGGCAAAGGAAGACCTTTCTCTCTGTCTCTCTCACTGTCCACTCTGCCTGTCAAAAAAAAAAAAAAAAAAAAAGAAAGAAGGAAAGAAGGAAAGAAGGAAAGAAATGGAGCAGCCAGATCTCGAACCGGTGCCCATAGGGGATGCCAGCACAGTAGATGGCGGCTTTATCAGCTACACTACAGCGCCCCCCTGCCCACTCCCCCCGCAAAGTTTTAAGAGGACCTGTTTCTGAACACATGGCTCTCTTTCTCTCTGTCTTCTCTTGATCTCTGTCTCTTGATCTCTCTCGTTCTCTTCTTGATCTCCTTCTTATGCTCCTCTTTTTTTTTTTCCTTCGCCCCTTTCCTCCATTCTGTCAGGTTTCCCCCCAATAAACCCTTTCTCTTAATAATAATAATAATAATAATAATAATAATAATAATAAAACCAGTGTAGCTATAGCTTGCAGCTTTAACTTATTCCTGATCCCACAGGAAAAGTGTTCAACTCTTCACCATTAAATAGGAGATTTGGTGTAGATCTAAGCCTTTGTCTTAGCTGAAGCCTGACCAACTAAAAGGAAGGGTTTTTTTTCTTTTATTTTTTAAGAAGCGTTTAGATGAACTCCTGACAGCCCTTATCTCTGATTCACTCATATTTGGCAATATTGAGAGATGACTGTTGAAGTCATACTGACCTGGTTCCAAAAATGGCTATTCTTTATGCTCATGTGATTTTGGTCAGGATTGTAAATCCTTTTAGGGCAGAAACTGTATTATTTGTATCCTTACCTCTAACTTAATTCCTAGTGTATCACGGGAGTTTAATATAGATATGTTGAAAAGTGAAGTTATTTAACTTGTCTGAGTCTTGACTTTCTCATTTGTAAAAGAGATAATCTCGTATAGCCTTTGTTAAAGTTACTTTAAAAATAAAACATGTAAAATAGTTGACCTGTAAAAAAATTTGAAAAATATTAATTTTCCTCCATTGAGATTTACTTTTCTTTAGCTGGCTGCATAGTGATCTGTTTTCTACTTTGCAGGTCTTATTTAACCTTAGAGAAACTTGTGTATTTAAATATATATATTTTTTAAGTTAGAACTTTTTAAAAAATGATTTATTCGTTTGAAAGATAGGGGAAGAGAAAGATCTTCCATCCACTGGTTCACTCCCCAGATGACTGCAATGGCCAGCTCTGGGCCAGGCTGCAGCCAAGAACCAGAAGCTTCATCTAGGTCTCCCACATGGGTGGCAGGAGCTCAAACACCTCCATCTTCCACTGCTTTGCCTAGGCCATTAGGGAGCTGGATTGGAAGTAGAGCAGCTGACACTTGAACCTGTGCCCATAAAGGATGCCAGCATTTCAGCAGGTTGCATTAACTGCTGTACCACAATGCCAGCCCCATTAAACTTAAAAGTTTTTAAGAAATTGAAGCTTAAGAATTTTCCCTGTGGCTGCTAAATATTCTGATGGCTTTGAGATGAGGAGAATGCGATTATGGTTTGAAATGAACTATTTAACCACAGAAGGCTCCTATGGGTCGTGTAGCATGATCCTTGAATTAATCAATTTTGTATTAGGCACAGTACCAATGTGGTTTTAAGTGAAATGTATGAATATCTTCCTGTGCGTACCTTCAGTGACTTAGTATATCCATGTTTTGAGCAACTGGATGACCATAGTTTTGCTAATCCTGTGTATTTTTCATAATCTTCACTCCTGCAGTCCAGATAGCTCAGTTTTATGGAACTTTTGCTAAGGGACGGTTCCAATGTCTGTGTCAGTTCTGTTGACTATTTGAAGGAGACTATACATATGATATTTCTGTACCACCAGGAAAGTGTAGTGTAACTTCTCATGACAGAGCCATTCCTTTTCAATCTCTGGAATAATAAATGACAGACTGGAGGGAGCAGTGTGAGCAGAAGAGAGGTTCTCTAGACATAGTTGTAGAATCTCATTGGCTTCTGACTATGGTGCTAGAGAGACTTAAGAACCCAAACTAGACTCACCACCCAAGGCTTACATGAATGTTTGGCTGGAAGAATGCATGCTGTGCTTCCCAGGAGCCTACCCCAATATTCCTGTCTGGGTGGAGAGAGCACAGGTAACATTGTCTGAGGGTTTGGATGTTTTTTCCTCTAAAAACCCTTTGGGAATTCTTAAGATTGCAATTGATGTCCCTCATCCCGAAGGAATCGTCACCATTACTGATGATGTGGCCTTTCTCCATTTCAGATTGATATCAGTAAATGCCATTATTTAGTGGATTTGGACACCCCAAGAGAGACACCCCGGGAGCCAAAATATTCATCGAATAGAGAAGAATGGATCAGCCTGGCCTATAGACCATTCCTTGATGCTTCGAGGTATGTGGTTTTAATCGTAAGAGATGTACTAGGGCTGGTAAGAGTAGAAATTAGATTCTAGAACTGAATAACTTCTGGTCCTGGGCTGACTCTGGTAGCCATTGCTTTCCTTTTTCTGCGGGGGGGGGGGGGGGGGCACAAAATATCTTCTGGTTCTCTCCGGTTTCCTGAGGACTTTAAAAGTGCTTTCTTCTTCAACAAACCAGGATGCAGAGTGTATTCTGGAATCACTGAAATGAAAGGATCCAGGTAAAACTGATGGATGTGTTGAGGGAAATTCAAATAAGTGTTTGACACTGATTACTTTTTGGCAACCAACATCATATCTCTTCACAGAGAATATTCTGGCACTGGCAGGAAGATTAAGTGTTATTTGAGGAGCTAGAATTTTGAACCCACTATTTTCAAGCTTAGCCAGAGTGTGGAGACCAAATAGACCAGAGCTCGGTGGGCTCTCCAGAAAGATCTCAGGATTAGTGGTAGGAGATCAGAACCTTCCGATGAAGCAGTAATAAGGAAGTTAAGTGTGTGTGTGGGGATGGGGGTCAGGGTGTCTGTTGGCAGAGGTCCAGGTAAACATACAAACTTAAAGAAGTGCAGGGAAATTGGGGGATGAAACTCAGGATCTAAGAGATTTGGGTAAAAAAGGAAAAGGTAAAAGAGCAGGTCCTGAGAGGCAGGTCTGTTGCTCAAACAGGGACTCGTGTCCAGGATGGGACTCCAGAAAAACTGAATGAGCACAGGTGCTGGGTTGAAGTCTGAGGAACCAGAATATATGACAAGATACCCAGGCAGCAAGTGAAATGTGGAGGAAAAGGCCAAGATCCCTAATTACCAGAACAGAGGTAAATAGTTCTTCATGGGCAGGCAAGAGTCTAGTTATTTTAAGTCAGTTCAGTAGGCCGGCGCCGTGGCTCACTAGGCTAATCCTCCACCTTGCGGCGCCAGCACACCAGGTTCTAGTCCCAGTCGGGGTGCTGGATTCTGTCCCGGTTGCCCCTCTTCCAGGCCAGCTCTCTGCTGTGGCTCGGGAGTGCAGTGGAGGATGGCCCAAGTGCTTGGGCCCTGCACCGCATGGGAGACCAGGATAAGTACCTGGCTCCTGCCATTGGATCAGCGCGGCGCACCGGCTGCAGCGCTCCAGCCGCGGCAGCCATCGGAGGGTGAACCAATGGCAAAGGAATACCTTTCTCTCTATCTCTCTCTCTCACTGTCCACTCTGCCTGTCAAAAAAACAAACAAACAAACAAACAAAAAAAAAAAACTCAGTCAAAGCTGGACTAAGTGGAAGGCTGAGATGTTGACCTGGAAACAGAAGATCTGATCTTAGAAGTGAGGCAGGAGCTGTTTGTAGAGCTGCAGGAGCTGGGCAGCTGTCTTAAAGCACAGATTTAAGTCTCTTCAGTGGCTTTGTGGGTAGTTACAATTGGAAGCATGAGTGGGATGCTTGGGGAGAGCAGGGCAGTCAGGAGGCTTCTGGGTTTCAGAGGGGAATTTTCCCCTCCCCTTCCCTTCCTTTCCTTCCCTTCCTTCCCTTCGCTTCCTTCCCTTCCTATCATTCCTTTCTTTCCTTTCGGGTCCATTCCTTCCCTCCCTTCCCTTACTTCCATCCTTGCACTGACGTTTTTTTTTTTCCTGTCTGTTTGGTCCGTCCGTTTTTTTTGCCGGCCAGGAGTAGACCAGTCGTGAGAGAGAGATTAAAGAGAGAGAAGGTCTTCCTTTGCCGTTAGTTCACCCTCCAATGGCCGCTGCGGCCAGTGCGCTGCAGCTGGCGCACCGCACTGATGTGATGGCAGGAGCCAGGTGCTTCTCCTGGTCTCCCATGGGGTGCAGGGCCCAAGCACTTGGGCCATCCTCCACTGCCCTCCCGGGCCACAGCAGAGAGCTGGCCTGGAAGAGGGGCAACTGGGACAGACTCCGGTGCCCTGACCGGGACTAGAACCTGGTGTGCCGGCACCGCAAGGCGGAGGATTAGCCTATTGAGCCGCGGCACCGGCCCAGAGTGATTTTCAAATATAAATCTTGAACCACAATATCCTGTAAGTCTTTCTATAGCCTGAAGCCATTCCCTTCAGTACCTGAAGAGCTTTGATATGAAATTTGTAAGAGTGTTATTGCTACATAGTGGGGAATAATGCTTCTTTTCAATAAATACATACATTTTAAAAAATTTTAGTTGACAATAGTTATACATATGTATGGGATACAATGTGATACTCCAATGCATGTATTCAATATTTAAGGATCTAATCAGGACTATTAGTGTCTGTCCGTTCGTTTGTTCTTTCTTTCTTTTTCTTTTTTTTTTTTTTTAGCAATTTATGTATTTATTTGCAAGGCAGAGTTATAAGAGAGAAAAGGAGAAATTTAATTGATCAATCTGGTATCTGCTGGTTCACTCCCTAAATGGCCCCAGTTGGGCCAGGCCAAAGCCAGGAGCCTGGAACTCTATCTAAGTCTCCCACATGGGTGTTGGGGGTCCAAGCACTTAGACCATCTCCAGTTGCTTTCCTAGGTGCATTAGTAGGGAGCTGGATAGGAAGTGGAGCACCAAGGCTTGAACCGGCACTCATATGCAATGCCGTTATCGCAGGCGGTAGCTTAACCACTGTGCCACAATGCTGGCCCCTAGTGTTTCATTTCTTTAAACAGTTATCATGTTAATGTGGTAAATTGTAAACTAAAGTGACCCTCCTGTGCCATAGGACACTAGAACTTATTCCTCCCACTTAACTGTATTTTGGTAATTGTTGTCCACCTACTCACTACCCTGTCCTTGCCCTTCCCAACCTCTGGTAACCACTCTTCTGCTCTCCGATGATGTGGAGAGACAGAAAGAGATCTTCCATCCACTGGTTCACTCCCCAAATGGTCACAATGGCAGGGACTGGGCCAGGCTGAAGCCAGGAGCTGGGAGCTTCTTCCAGGTCTTCCATATGGGTACAGGGGTCCAAGCACACTTGGGCCATCTTCCTCTGCTTTCCCAGGTGCATTAGTGGGGAGCTGGATTGGAAAGGGAGCAGCTGGGACTTGAACCAGCGCTCATATGGAATGCCAGCATCACAGGTGGCAGTTTTATCTGCTATTTCACAACTCCAGCCATGATAGCTCATTTCTTTTTAGCTCTAAATAACATTCCATTGTCTGAATGTACTAAATGGTATTTATCCATTCACCTACCGAAGGACTTTTTGGTTGCTTCCAAGTTTTGGCATTTTTCTTAGTTCATACGGCTATATCAAGTTACCAGACTAATTTTTCAGGGTTCTGAAGACTAGAGGTCTAAGATCAGGGTGCCAGCAGAGTCAGGCCCTGGTGAGGGCCCGTTGCCAGGTTGCAGACAGCTGATTTCTTGTATCGTCATGTGGCAGAAAGAGGATGGACTAGCTGTCCAGGCTCTTTTTATAAGGGCACAAGTCTCATTTTTGAGGGCTCATGACCTAATTACCTCCCAAGGATCTACCTTCAAATACTGACATTTTGAGGATTAGATTTTCAACTTAAGAATTTTGAAGGGACACATTGAGTCCACAACGGAAATTATGAATAAAGCTGCTGTAAACATCTTGAGTTTTTGTGTGCTCATAAGTTTTTAACTCCTTTGGGTAAATACCAAGAAGTGTGATTGCTGGATTGTATGGTAAGAATATGTTTAGTATTGTAAGAAGCTGCACAGCTGTCTTGCAAAGTGGCTGTATTGTGCCACATTCCCATAAACAATGAATAAGAGTTCCTGTTGCTCTGCATTTGAGATGGTTGGCATTTAGGATTTTAGTCATTCAAATAGGTGTGTAGTGGTATCTTATTGCTGTTTTAATTTCCATCTCTCTAATGATATATAGTGTGGAGCATGTTTTCATATAGTTATTTGCCATCTGCTTCTTTGTGGAAGTATCAAAGTCTTTGACCCATTTTTTGATGAGGTTGTTAATTTTCTTATTGTTGACTTCTTTATACATTTTGAATATCAATCCTTTATCAGGTATGTCTTTTTTTTTTTTTAAAGATTTTATTTATTTATTTGAGAGGTAGAATTACAGACAGTGAGAGGGGGAGAGAGAGAGAGAAAGGTTTTCCACGTGCTGGTTCACAATTGACCTCAACGGCCAGAGCTGAGCCAGTCTGAAACCAGGAACCAGGGTCTCCTATGCAGGTGCAGGGGCCCAAGTGCCTGGGCCATCCTCTACTGCTTTCCCAGGCCACAGCAGAGAGCTGGATCAGATGTGGAGCAGCCGGGTCTAGAACTGGCGTCCACATGGGATGCCGGCGCCACAGGTGGAGGATTAACTTGCGCCACAGCGCTGGCCCCCAGATGTCTTTTACAAGTACTTGTTTCCACTCTGCGGCTTCTCATTTTCTTGATAGTGTGTTTCACAGAGCAGAAGTTTTTTTTAATGTGTATGTATTTGAAAGACATAGATAGAATTCACATTTGCTGATTTACTCCCCAAATGCCAGCAGTATCCAGATCTGGGACAGGCCAAAGCCAGAAACCAGAAACTCGTCCACATGAATGTGGTATTTGAGTCATCACCTGTTGCCTCCCAGCATGTACATTCACAGTAAGCTGGAATTGGGTGTGTGGCTGGACTCAAACCCAGGCACTCTGCTATGAGGGATGCAGACAGCCGAGGCACTCTCTTAATTGCTGAGACAAATGCCCAATCAGAAATTGTTAATTTTTATTAACTATCAATTCTTTTTTTTCTTTCATGAATTGTACCTTTAGTATTATTCAAAAAGTCATTACCAAACCCAGTATCATTTAGTTTTTCTTATATTGTATATTCTAAGAATTTTATACTTTTGTATTTTACGTTTAGGTCTATGATTCATTTTGAGTTAATTTTTGTGAGGGGCATAAGGTCTGTGTCAATACTTATTTACTTATTTAATTTTTTTAAATTTATTTTATTTAAATTTATTGAAACTTATTTATTTATTTAAACATTGAGATGTTTAGCTATTCCAGTACTATTTGTTACTATTTGTTGTAAATA